GCCAAAGGCAGACACTTAAACAACAGAGCCACCCAAGCACCCCAAGCATGTGACTCTTGATCTTAGGGTTATGAAATTGAGGTTCTCATTGGGTGTAGAGATTAATGAAATAAATAGATAAATAAAAATAAAGATTACCTTTCAATTTTTAATTAATTAGTTAAGCTTGGATCAGAAATTAACACACACACACACACACACACACACACACACACACACACACCATCCCTCCCGTGACTCCTTACTACACTTAGAATAAAATCCCAACTCCTACTTTAAATGGGCAAACCGTATGGCAGGGGAATGATACCTTGTAAAGCTGTTATATAAAAATCCAAACTCCTCCCTGTGGCCCACCTCTTTGACCCCATCTAGCATGATTCTCCTCTTAACTCACTGCCAACCGCGCCGGCCATTGTGGTCTGCAAACATCCCCCAGTGGTTTCTACCTCAGGATCTTTGTAGATGCTCTTCCCTCTCCCTGGCATGTTCTTCCTTGTAGCTTTTCCCAGGGCTGTTTGTCCCCTCATTCAGCCCCACCTCCGATATCGATGTCACCTCTTCTATCTAAAGTAGCCGCCCCGTCACCCTCTCCTCACTGGTCCTCTTTGGTTTTCCTCATAGCACCTAAAACAATTTTTTTAGGGTCGCCTGGGTGGCTCAGTGGGTTAAGCCTCTGCCTTTGGCTCAGGTCATGATCTCAGGGTCCTGGGATCGAGTCCCGCATGGGTCCCTCTGCTCAGCGGGGAGCCTGCTTCCCCCGCTCTCTCTCTCTCTCTGCCTGCCTCTGCCTACTTGTGATCTCTGCCTGTCAAATAAATAAATAAATAATAAATAAATAAAATCTTTAAAAATTTTTTTTAAGATTTTATTTATTTATTTGACAGAGAGAGGCAGGCAGAGAGAGAGAGAGGCAGATGCAGGCTCCCTGCTGAGCAGAGAGCTTGACTCTCTATTCTGGGGGCTCTATTCTGAGACCCTGAGATCATGGACTGAGCCGAAGGCAGAGGCTTAACCCACTGAGCCACCCAGGTGCCCCGATAGCACCTAAATTTCTAAAATTATCTTATTTGTTTGCTTGTTGGCTGGTTTGTGAGTTGTTGCTGTTCCCTGTCTCACCAGGTCATGACAGTTAAGAGGTTGTTTTTGTAACTCTGAGCAGTGCCTAACCGACACTCAGGTGAAGAAGTATTTGTTGAAGGAATTATGTATTGAATTATCTCAGTTGAGCATATGTGTCGGGCTTGTTAAGTATCCTGATGTTTTCAGTGGAAAGCAAATTTTGTATTCACAATCACGTTGAAAATAAAGATGAACCACCGTAACTTTTGAAGTCTCTGCTTTATTTTCTATAAAATGGGGATTGGAGTGAGGAAGTTAAACTTTATGATTTCTAAGATTTCTTGCCGCTCTTTAGAGGATGGGGTCTGGTGTCGTTGAAATGAGTACTAGGCTGGTCAGCAACTTAGTAGATGGGGCACTAGGGCTCAGAACTTTGTCCTCAATGCCCCTCAACAGATGTACTGGAAGCTCAAGGGCATTCTTCACTTTTCCCCCACAAGCCAGCCTTGGCAATGTCTTCTCAGAAATCTCACCAGCTATTGTCCTTGCTACTAACCCCACCGTACTGCCCGGGCCAGGTCAGCATCAGCCCCTCCTGGACCACAACCCCAGTCTCTTCTCTGCTGCCCGTCCCCACCCGCCCCCATACCAGCCCTGGATTTGGGGCAGGGGATCCTGACCAAAGCACCAAAGCTGTATTTGACATCCCAGAAGACAAAAGAGGAGAAATCCCCATCTCTTGGGGATGGAGTAGGGTGAGCCTCCAGTAGAATCCCACAAGCAACCACTTCCCCTTCTGTCAGAGACCCTGGTTATCCTCTGAAGAGCTGCCTGTGCTGTGCTCCGCCCATCCCGGTCTCAGACGTCGGGTCTCTGAGCCAGTGTTTACAAGTCAGCAAAATCTATCCCTTGTGATCACACTTGTTGAGTACTAGTGTACTCAAGTTCAGTTCTGGCACTAAGTGCCTGAAGTTAACTCAGACCCCACAGATTAAGGGCTCAGTCCTCCCCAGACTGCCCCCATTTCAGATGAGAGATGTAAGTGGGGTCCCCCAGTCATCTTCACTTCTGACCAACCTGCTCCAGATCAGGGAGTTTCCCATGAGCCCCCAACCCCCTCAGGTGTGATAATTTGCTAGAACAACTCACAGAATGCAGGATAATACTATACTTAGGATTACAGTTAGAGTAGAGAATACAAGTCAGGAACAGCTAAACGAAGAGAGACACAGAGGTTCGGGAGACCTGGTTTCATGTTTTAGGTGTGATTGATTAAGTCATTGCCATGTGACTGAACTCAATCTCTAGATCCCGCTCCTCTCCTGGACATCCAGCTGCTTCAAAATCCCAACCCTTGGGGGTGCCTGGCTGGCTCAGTCAGGAGAACATGTGACTTTTGGTCTCAGGGGTTGTGAGTTCAAGCCCCGTGATAGGTGTAGAGATTAACATACATGCATACATAAATCTTTTTAAAAATCCCAACCCTCTGTATTATGCCGAGCATAGTAAGTCAATCAGAGAAAGACAATTATCATATGATCTCCCTGATATGAAGAATTTGAGAGGCAATGTGGGGGGTTTGGGGGGTAGGGAAGGAAAAAATGAAACAAGATGGGATCGGGAGGGAGACAAACCATAAGAGACTCTTAATCTAACAAAACAAACTGAGGGTTGCTGGGGAGGGGGGGAGGATAAGGTGGCTGGGTGATGGACATTGGGGAGGGTATGTGCTATGGTGAGTGCTGTGAAATGTATAGACCTGGCGATTCACAGACCTGTACCCCTCGGGCTAATGATACATTATATGTCAATAAATAAATCAGTAAAATAAAAATCGCAACCCTCTAGTCACCCGGATAGTCTTTCTGGTGACCAGCCCTTATCCTGAAGCTATCTACAGGCTTGCCATTAGTAACCTCATTAGCTAAAACTTCGGTGGGATCTAAAGGGCACTTTTCTATTACTTGGTAAATTCCAAGTACTTTTAAAGTTCTGTGCCAGGAAGCTGGGACAAAACCCAAATTCTTCATTATACCTGGTGACCCAGGCAGAGCTGATGAGACTCAGTCCTGTTGTGTTTGCCAGAGCCATTGGGAAAGCTATGATCTTTTTCCACTATGACTGTGAAGCTAGTAGGATGTATGCTTGGGGCTGCTGGTAGCCATCTTGCCACCTGTGAGGGGACAATCTGGAAAGCAGAAGAAAGCAGAGCTGAGAGACGGGGACCAAGTTCAAATGCTCGAAGTCATTCTACCCCTGATTTTTCAATTCTGTGAGCCAGAAAACGCCCCCTCTTTTCACGTTGAAGCTCCCTTACATTGGGAGTGGTTTGAGGGTTTCATTACTGATAGCTAAAAGCATCCTGACTGTCACATACCCTGTTCCTGAGAAGCAAGTATTTCTCCCTTTTATGTTAATACCTTGGCTTAATGTGGGCCCTGGATCCTACCATTCCCACCTTCCCCAAACCTCACTCCTTCAAATACTATCCTCTCTACTGGCTCCTTTCCCTTTAGACTTTCCTCATGATCAGGTCCCCCTCAAGCCAGCACTCCATACTCCTCCTCCCGTTTCTTCACCTTCCATTTATTCCTCAGCCCACTACCATTTGGCTTCTGCTTCTACCACTTCCTTATTTTTTTTTTAAAGATTTTATTTATTTATCTGACAGACAGAGATCACAAGTAGGCAGAGAGGCAGGCAGAGAGAGGAAGGGAAGCAGGCCTTCTGCTGAGCAGAGAGCCTGATGCGGGGCTTGATCCCAGGACCCTGGGACCATGACCCGAGCTGAAGGCAGAGGGTTAAACCCACCGAGTCACCCAGGCGCCCCTTCTACCACTTCCTTAAAATCACTCTCACCATAGGGCGCCTGGGTGGCTCAACTGGTTAAGCATCTGCTTTTGGCTCAGGTCATGGTCCCAGGGTCCTGGCATCAAGCCCCGAATCAGGCTCCCTGCTCAGCAGGGAGCCTGCTTCTCCCTCTCCCACTCCCCTTGCTTGTGTTCCCTCTCTCACTGTGTCTCTGTCAAATAAACAAAATCTTTAAACAGCTACTCTCACGAAAGTCCCTAAACAGTGTTAGTTGATAGGGATAGAAGCAGAAAAATATTCACCTCTAGCCCAGAAAACTGACCTAAAGCCTGCATAGTTCTGATAAGGATCAAATACGTGCTGGCTGCTACATTGTAAAGCGTCTCATGACTGTACGTGTCACCAATAGTTAACATCCAACTGAATGATAAGCACCAGAGAAATCTTGCGAAAGTAGTTTTACAGGCAGAAATTCGAAGAAAACATCTATGATCTAATATTCCCCGTACGTCCCCTCCACTTTGAACACGATGCATATAACCACCAGCTTCATACAGCAAAGTTAAGGCTCTTTCTGCTCATGAGTCTTGTCGCCATGCAACAATAAATGCACTTCTTGGCACCAAAAACATCTCAAGAATTTTTTTTGAACGTCCACTCGCGACCCCACAGCATCAGTCACCGATGTTTTAAACAGGAGACAATGGCAATGCCATGGATCCCTTTTTAATCATTTGCTCGTGAGGTGTCTGACCAAGTGCCCCCACGCGCATGCTCTATAGTCCCATACCCCATTGTCTTTGTTGTGTGGTTCCTCTTCCAACGCAGTGTCCAGATTTTTTTTTTTCTGGTTTGGAGGCATGCCCTCAGACTACAGGAGGCTTTGCCTTGATGAACTGACATCTCCAGGAGTGTCGCTTGGTGAACAGCTAAGGCTTGTAGGTATAGGGAACGCCCCGCTCCCTTGTTTCTGGGCAAATCTGACACATATCTTTCATCCAGAGCTCCCCTGTAGGATCAAGTTGAACTTCTCTCTGCCTGAGATCACTCGTTTGTTTGGTTTTCTCTCCTTCCCTCTCCTGCTTCTCCCACTCTCTTACCGATTTCTTCTGGTAGCACTGTTTGACGAAGTCACTTGCACACACATCATCTCAAGGTCTGCTTCTGGGAAACCTGACCCAAGACATCATCTCAGCACTTTCTACTCCTCTTTTGCTGCCTACCTGATAAGTGTGGATTGTTTTCTAGAATGAGGTCCTGGGCCCTATTCCCTCTACAGATAATTGGCTGGACAATCTCGTTCATGTCCATAGTTTCAACCAGTAGCTTCAATTTTCACTTCTGATAATCCCCAAACTGTTTTATGCAGCTCAGACTGCAGCTCTCTCTGCTGGACAGCCCCAGCTAGCTGTCCACAGACAACCCCTGCACTAACACAATAGTCACTAGCCACATGTGGCTATTTTAATTAATTAAAATTTAAATCCCTAGTCCCACCAGCACATTTCAAGTGCCCAGGAGCTACCTATAGCTAGTGGCTACCACCCTGGATAGTGTCAATATAGAACACCTGTTTTATTGGACAGCTTAGACACATTTCCAAACCTAACTCATCATCCCCAGAATGTTGCCTTTCTATAGTCCTCACTGTGTCTCTCTCTTAGAAACAGTGGGCAGAAATTACAGAAACTAGAAACTACAGAGAAAGGGTATATAAGGGCTTCAGGGAGGAGAGAGGGGACCACAGAATTAGAGTCTTTTACATGTATATCTTCCCTGGAACTGGGAAGATGGATGGACAAAGATGTTGACGAAGACCTTAACAAAGGCCATCTGTGAGCGATCTTAGATTGGTTAGAACAGGGGGAGAGCTGGGGAGGAGGGCTGGCTAGGCCAGAACTTGCCCTCCTCAATGAAGTTTTCAAACTCCACCTGGCAGCCTCAGCCTTGAATAAACGTTCTTGTGTGAGTCAGGGCATTTATCCATCTCCAGTCAATAGTGTTCCAGGATGAGTATTTGCTCGAAGCCAACCTGCCGGAGTCAGTTCTGGAAATTTTACTGCAAATCTCAGAAAAGAAGCAGGTTCCTTCTTGAATTCTAAGCTGTTAGGACTTCAGTTTGGCGCCATGGAAAGCCATTTTGCCACTGAGATGGGCCTACCTGCAAGTGAAGCCAAATGCATGGGGAAAGAAGAGGCTAGAGAAGGTGAGCCAGAGGTTCTTCACAGCTTTCGGCTTTTTATTCACCTGTTCCTGAAAAAACTCGATCCGTTTTTTTCCAACTGCTTCAGCCAAGATTCCCCTATTCCTTAGGGCGGTTGGAGCTGGGTCACTGACAGACCTTACTGATCTCATCGTGCTAATGATTTCAACGACTCTCTATACCTTAACGATTCCCAATGTCTGTATCTAGCCTTGATGCCTTTACTGAGCTCCACCCGTGTGTCCACCTGCCCCCTGACGTCCCACAGGCACGTCTAAAGTGATCTCCTTATTTCTGCCCTCTTGTCTTTATTTCCCATCTCAGACGAAACCTCCTAGACCTCCAGTCCCTTTGCTCAGAGACGCCAAGGTCGTAAGTTCAGGCTCCGCCTCTTCGCGGGGCCTCAACCAAGGTCATCCGCGTCTTCCCTCGCGCGGCTCGTTGGGGGCGGTGTCCCGCGAACCCCACGGCCGCAGGGCCAGGCGCTCTAGGCGGCGGCGGGCCCCGCAAAGAGCCTCCTCATCTCGCTGGTTTCCGGTACCCGGTGGCTACTCTAGCCTACAACGGGGGGCCTCGGGACTCTATCCTCTAAGCCGGCTTCTCTTCGCCAGGTTTTCTCCGGGAGGGTACCTGGGGGAACCCCTTGCCACGGTGGCTTCTGCGGTCTCTTTTAGGTGCAACCGGAGAAACCCCTGAGCCCCCAGAGACTCCCCGCCTCTGGGCGCTCCAAGGGTTTGCACGGACTAGGAGGATGGCGGAAGTGAGTGTGTAGGCGCCCTTCTCTCTCGCCGCTCTTCTCTATGGTCGCTTCCTTCGGTGACGGGAAAAGGGGTCCCGGCGCCTGCGCAGAAGACGGTCTGGGAGGTAGTCGCGGAGTGCGGGGGGAGGGGCAGGGAGCGGGAGCTGCCGCCGCCGCCGGAGCAAACCGCGGGGACCGAGATGCAGGTGGGACCGGAACCGGAACCCCCCTCTTCAAGTACCTCTTCCCTCTTCGCGACCCGGCCCCGGCGCCTGAGAGGAGCCCTGGGTGGGGGCGGGCGTAGGGGGGGCAGAGGCAGGAGGGGTGCTCGGCCCCGCAGAGTGCAGCCGACCGGGCTGGTCCCGAGGCGGTTGCGGCCCCGGGGAATGGGCGGGTCGAGGGTGTCCAGGGAGTAGGGTCGGGTCGGAGTGCATTGCCCACCGGGCCCAGAGGGTCCGAGCCGGGAGCGGAGCCTGCACCCTCCACCACCCGCCCTTCGGGAAATTTCAGAACTGAGCCAAGAGGCAGGTGCATCGGGAAAATGTGTCTGAGTCCTGCTTGGCAGAAGAGAAACTGAGTCACCAGCTCAGGAGCCGCAGGGTCAGCAGGCCAGGAGGGGGCTGGGTCTGCCTGTGGTGCAGAGGGTTGGGTGGGCCTGTGTGAGCCGAGGTGGCCTCTGCCTGGAGATTGGTCTCTCTGCTGTGTCTGCACCTCTTGGCTCGCTTCCCCTGTGTTCCATGACTCTTGCATCTCTTGGCTTCTTCTCGTTGGTTTGGAATTGTCCCTGCGGTGGGAGCCATCTGAATGTGTAGGGTCTAGGCCAGGAAGGAAGGGGAGGGGTCGCTGATTGTCAGTCTGAGCAGGAGTCTGAGGTTTGGGGAGACTTTCCTGAGCTGCCCTCTCCCCCATCCCCCCCGCCCAGTCCGGGTGCCAGTCATCTTCCAGTATACTATGGGGGAGGAACACTAACAAAAGAGCCATGGGTTGTAAATGTCATGCCCAGCTCTGCCACTTGCTAGTTGTAAGATCTTGGGAAGCCTCCTCTTTTTTCATTGCTCTCTCAGAAGAATTGGAACCCATAAAGATAGTATTAATGGCGGTGGTTTATTGTGTGCTTACTTTGTGTCGAGCCCTGACATGTTCCATTTAATTCTCCCAATGATTCTATGGGTTAGGGATCATTAGCTCCGCTTTATAGCTACACATCTGCACTTCAGAGAGGACATATAGTCTGTTCCAGATCACCCAGCTAATAGGTGGCAGAGCAGGGATTTCATCCCAAGTCCGACTCCAGATCCCATAGCCTTAACCATCAGGCTAACCAGCCTTTAGGGCACACTCCCCAGTGAAAGAAGAGGAAGTGAAAAAGCTCCCTGTTATGTTTTATTTATTTTGTGGCCAACAGAGACTTGCTCTAACCCAGCCCATAGACTTTCCCCGCCTGGTGCTGCTGCCACTGGGCCTCAGGCTGACGGGTCCCCAAAGAATCGGACTGTGGCCATTCCGAGCCTCTGTCACATCGTGTAGGGGTGCTGGGCCCTGGGGTCTGCCTTCAGGACAAGTGCGGTTTCAATCCATCACCCATTCATCCTCCTTCCTGAGCAGCCTCCCTCCTCAGAGCTGGACCTCAGGACCCATGAGGCAGGGTCTGTAAGCACTACAGGCCTAGCTCCCCTGAGAGCTGGGTCAGTGAGGGCCTGTGCCTGAGGCCGGGGCAGCCAGGCCCTGGGGACGAGTGCTATGCAGTGGGCAAAACCATAGGCTTGGAGTTCGGAAACTGTTCTGGGCTTCGGTTTCCTCATCTATTGTCAAGGTTATTAAAGCCTGTTGCAGGGAAAGGTAAGAACAGCACATGGGAAGCATGTGATAGATCTTGAAGGACCTGTTTTAGAGAAGGGAGGGTGGCGTGAGTGATAAAGGTTCCTTTTTAGAGGAAAGTGCTCCACGGCTGGCCGTCTGTCACTCCTGGAACCAGAGCCAGGGGGAGTGGGGTTGGGAAGGCAGCAGGGTAGGTGCTGACCGGGGCGTGTGGGTCGTGAGGATCTGGGAAAGGGAAGGGGGGTGCGGTGTGGTGTTCCCCATGGCTCTTCAAGGAGTCCTGACTAGAGTGGGGAGTCCGGCTGGGGGTGGGGCTTGGCCCCCGGTCCCACCTCAGCAGTGACTTGGTATATGTGCCTCTCTTCCTTCTGCAGCTGCTGCCGTTCACCCCGTGTCTTCTGGTCGCTTCCCTCTTTGCTGCCCCTCCCCACAGGCTCCCCCTCTCCACCTCCTGGGGACCATCATGAATGGTTCCCCTTCCCCGGAGGATGGGGCCTCCCCCTCTCCTCCCCCTTTGCCACCACCCCCTCCTCCTAGTTGGCGGGAGTTCTGCGAGTCCCATGCCCGGGCTGCTGCCCTGGATTTTGCCCGCCGTTTTCGCCTCTACCTGGCCTCCCACCCTCAGTATGCAGGGCCAGGGGCTGAGGCTGCCTTCTCCCGCCGTTTTGCTGAGCTCTTCCTGCAGCACTTTGAAGCGGAGGTGGCCCGGGCCTCCGGCTCCCTCTCGCCACCCATCCTGGCTCCCCTGAGTCCTGGTGTGGAGATCCCGCCACATGACCTGTCCCTTGAGAGCTGCAGGGTGGGTGGGCCCCTGGCTGTGTTGGGCCCTTCTCGATCATCTGAGGACCTGGCCGGCCCCCTCCCTTCCTCAGTCTCTTCCTCTTCTACGACCTCCTCAAAGCCGAAGCTCAAGAAACGCTTCTCCCTCCGCTCAGTGGGTCGCTCCGTCCGCGGTTCAGTCCGTGGCATCCTGCAGTGGCGGGGGACTGTTGACCCTCCCTCCCCAGCGGGGCCCCTCGAGACCTCATCGGGCCCCCCAGTCCTGGGTGGAAACAGCAACTCCAACTCCTCTGGGGGGGCCGGGACCATTGGCAGGGGACTGGTTAGTGACGGAACATCCCCTGGGGACAGATGGACTCACCGATTTGAGCGGCTGAGACTCAGTCGGGGCGGGGGGGCCTTGAAGGACGGAGCAGGGATGGTGCAGAGGGAAGAGCTGCTGAGTTTCATGGGGGCTGAAGAGGCAGCCCCTGACCCAGCTGGAGTAGGCCGGGGAGGAGGGGCAGCTGGGCCGACCTCAGGGGGAGGAGGGCAGCCTCAGTGGCAGAAGTGTCGCTTACTGCTCCGAAGTGAAGGAGAAGGAGGAGGAGGAAGTCGTCTGGAGTTCTTTGTGCCGCCCAAGGTGAGGCCCCAAGGAGGGTGGGTGACTGGGAGCGGGCGACCGAGCCACCAGAGTGGAACAGCCCCCGGGCTTAGCTTTGTTCGCTCTGGTGTGGTTGGGTTTAGTTCTGTGTCAGTACTCACTTTGGTTTTTAGAGCTAGCTCCTGACTCTCGGGTGGGATTGAAAAAGTAGCGTTGTGACCCTTGGTCCAGCTCCCTCAGGGCATAGAAGGAAAGATGCTGCGTCTCCGGAGGGAAGTGTCAGGTGGTCCCTGCTCACCAGCAGTTTGGATCTTGTTCTCCTTCCCCACCCAGGCGTCTCGGCCTCGACTCAGCATTCCCTGCTCTACCATCACGGACGTGCGGACAACCACGGCCCTGGAGATGCCTGACCGGGAGAACACGTTTGTGGTTAAGGTAGGGGCTCTGGGCTCCTGCCCCCCCCCCCCCCGGGAGCGCTCGTTCTGGGGAGGAAGCTCCTGGAGCACGTGGAAGCCAGAGACCTCACAGAAGGAGGTGCCTGTGGGTCCACTGCCTTGAGAGTGTGTCCCTGGGGCTGTAGCTTCCCTGGGAGGAGGGAAGAGGGGGAGGATGTTCTTGTTCTCATCAGGGGTGGCTTCCGGCCTCTGGACCTGGACGTGGCCTGTGGGCTTCCTCTTGGCCTCGTAGGTGGAAGGCCCCTCGGAATATATCCTGGAGACAGCCGATGCTTTACACGTGAAGGCCTGGGTGTCTGACATCCAGGAATGCCTGAGTCCGGGGTGAGGAGCCTGCCTGCTGTCACCGAGGGGACCAGGTGGGGCTGGGGAGCAGCCCTGGGCTGTTCACCTGCTGAGTTTCCTCACAGCACCCTTCCCCCGCCCCTCCACAGACCCTGCCCTGCCACCAGTCCCCGCCCCATGACCCTCCCCCTGGCCCCTGGGACCTCATTCCTTACAAGGGAGAACGCTGACAGCCTGGAGCTGCCGTGCCTGAATCACTCAGAGAGTCTGCCCAGCCAGGATCTGCTGCTGGGAGCCAGTGAGAGCAATGACCGCCTGTCACAGGGTAAGGATGGAACTTTGGAGGGCTGTGGACCTCAGAGCCCCCCACGCCATGCTCAGGCCCTCTCTCCCGACTTCAACCGTGCCCCCCATTCCTGCCCTTCAGCTGCCCACCCCTTCCCACGGAATGTCTCACTTTGGTCCCAGAACGTGCCACGCCACAGTCGGCCGCTCAGAACCATCCCCTTCCCCACCTTGCACGAGCCCCACGCCAATGCCCACCCAGCCTTCCGTGCCCTGCCTTTCCTCCTTTTCCGTAAGCCTCGCACAGACCTCCATTCTGGCTGGAGAGAACGGCTCTCTTCCCCAAGCTTCTGGAACACTTCGTTCACATCTTTGTTTGGCTTTTACTCTGAGTCTCTGTACGTATGTCGATGCTATTAGATTTTTTTTTTTAATTTTTTTGAAATTTTTTGGTCTTTTTTTTAAAAGATTTTTATTTATTTATTTGACAGAGATCACAAGCAGGCAGAGAGAGAAGGAGGGGAAGCAGGCTCCCCACTGAGCAGAGAGCCCAATGCGGGGCTCCATCCCAGGACTCTGGGATCATGACCTGAGCCAAAGGCAGAGGCTTTAAGCCACCCAGGCGCCCGCTATTAGATGTTTTTGACTCTTTACTTCTTGGCCTGACTAACATATACGGGCCTAGTCACACACAGCACGCCCAGAGACATGCGTCCACCTGGCCCAGCTCACCTTCCCAGATGCCAGTATCCTGTTTGTCCTGCTCCTCTGTTCTAGTTTCGATTTCTTGGTGCTTGGCACCTTGGTCGTACTCACCGAGTAAACAGATGGGACTGAAGGATCTTGGAGCTAGGATGGACCTCACAGGTCATGGGCTCCAGTCCCCTCGTTTCCAGGCCCCTCAGGCAGCTAAGACCAGGGAGGGGCAATGGCTTTTCAGCAGTCCCTGACAAAGATGGGGACTGTGCCACTCTGCTCCCTACCCCGCGTTTGCTCTGTGCACCCCACGTGTAGCTACACCATCCTTGTGGGCTCAGGCCTGCCACACAGCAGACATTCGGGAATGCCCAAGTGCATTCCCAACCCTGTGCTAGCTTCTGAGGCAGGATGGAGTAACCCAAAGCCACCCAAGACGCACTTCTTGCCCTCTCTGCGGCCTCCCAGTCTAGCTGAGTTGACAAGCTCTCACTCCCTCTGAAAAGCAGGACTCCGCAGTGGAGAGCCTGTGCCTGGGGTCCTCTGAGCAGCACGAGCAGGAAGTGCCTTGGGAGCTCAGAGTGGGAGGAGAATCGGGGGAAGGTGAGATAGACAGGCTCCACCCAGGGGAGGTGAGAGAAAAGAACAGGGCTTGGAGGATGCAAATGGTGAGGTGGGGAGAACCCCGGAGCTTTGGGAGAGCAGGACAGGATGATCAGGCCAGCGCGGAGGCTCTGGGAATACAGACTAATTGAGGTGGTCGGGGTGGTTGACTTGGGCCACTTAATAGGAGGTGGGTCTTTGATGCCTTTGAGCATTGGGGGCTTTGTCCTGTAGGCCAAAAAAGGATGCTTTTTAATATAAGAATCCTTGAGGGACTGTCCACACCCCCTGCAACAGTTGCTATCATTTCAGCTGATTCAGAAAGAATAGGGGCACATTCGGAGCCCGGGATGTCCTTGCAGTCACTCCACAGACCCTTAGTGCCTGGAGCCTGTCAGGGGTCGTGGGTCGGACCGATGGGCCCCTGGCCGAGGAAGGGGGCAGGCACCTCAGCTCACTGACTGCCAGCGCACACAGGGTAGTCTCTCCAGTTCTCAACTCTGCCCTCCTCCCCCCCTTTTTTTTTTCCCAGGGGCCTATGGGGGCCTTTCAGACCGCCCCTCAGCGTCCATCTCCCCCAGTTCCGCCTCCATTGCTGCCTCCCATTTTGACTCAATGGAACTGCTTCCCCCAGAATTGCCCCCCCGCATCCCCATTGAAGAGGGGCCCCCAGCGGGCACCGTTCATCCCCTCTCAGCCCCCTACCCACCCCTGGACACTCCGGAAACGGCCACAGGTACCAGAGGTGAGAGCACGTGTCTGCCTCCAGGCCCAGTGGCCTGCCTTCCCGAAACTCTGGTCTCAGGATCCTGAGGGATCGGACCCAGGGGAAAGGAAGTGACAGGTGGAGGGAAAGCAAGGCTTCTCTCCCAGGACGGGGGAGGCTTCCCTGACACCCCGGTTTCCCTCCCTCTCTCCTTCCTGAAGGATCATTCCTGTTCCAGGGGGAGTCAGAGGGAGGTGAAGGGGACCAGCCCCTCTCAGGGTACCCTTGGTTCCACGGGATGCTCTCTCGACTCAAGGCCGCGCAGCTAGTGCTGGCGGGAGGTGCTGGCTCCCATGGTGTTTTCCTGGTACGGCAGAGTGAGACGAGGAGGGGCGAGTACGTCCTCACTTTCAACTTCCAGGGCAAGGCCAAGGTGAGTGAGGGAAAGGCTGTGTTCCATGCCCAGAGCTTGCGAGTGGGGCGGGGGGAACGGGGCCGTCCAGGGGAGGAGGCTTCTGGAAGGGGCAGGGGCGCGGGCTCCTGCTTCACCTTGCTCGCCCTGCCCTCAGCACCTGCGCCTGTCGCTGAACGAGGAGGGTCAGTGCCGGGTCCAGCACTTGTGGTTCCAGTCCATTTTCGATATGCTCGAGCATTTCCGGGTGCACCCCATCCCTCTGGAGTCTGGAGGCTCCAGTGACGTTGTTCTTGTCAGCTATGTCGTGTCCTCCCAGCGACAGCAGGGTGAGCAGAGCAGGTCTGCAGGGGAGGAGGTGCCCGTGCACCCAAGAAGTGAGGAGGTGTGTGTGCCAGAAAGACGGGGCGGGGGGCTGTGAGGAGGAGAAGCCTCGTAAGGGAGAGTAGGGTAGTGAAGGCTCCGGGGGGTGGGGCTTTCAAAGGGGAAGCAGGACACTGAGCACGTAGGGAGGCAGAGGCTCCGTGCTGGAGCCGGGAGGAAATTGGGTTGGTGCATTGCCATTCCATCGGACCCCTGTGTTCCATCACTCGTGTGTCTCCTGGATTCATCTTCCTCGGCCTTGTCTTTGCCCTTTGTCGCAGTCTTGCCTTGGGCCTGTCCTTCTTGGGGATGCTTGGTTTGATCCCCCACCCCCCTCCTCCCTTGACGTCTGATGTCCCTGTCTGATCTCTCCCTTTTCCCCACCCCAACGTCCCATCTGTCCCCACGTTGCCCCTCCCCCCCCCCCAGGCCGGGAGCAGGCCGGGAGCCATGCAGGGGTGTGCGAGGGAGATCGATGCTACCCCGATGCCTCCTCCACCCTCATGCCCTTCGGAGCGAGTGACTGTGTGTAAGTGTGGTCCTCCTCTCACCGCCGCCCATGATCCATCTTCCATGGACTGGGGGGGGTTGCTCAGGAGACGGGATGTGGGGGAGATAGCACATGGCTCCTGGGGGGACAAGTGCAGGGGAGGCCAATCGCAAGAGCTGGCCTCCCTCCACAGTCTGTCTTCTTACCATTCCTACCTCCAGAACCGAACACCTCCCATGACCCACCCCAGCCCCCTGAACCCCCTTCATGGACAGATCCCCCACATCCTGGGGCAGAAGAGGCGTCGGGGGCGCCAGAAGTGGCGGCAGCAGCAGCCGCAGCAGCCAAAGAGAGGCAAGAGAAAGAGAAAGCGGGCAGTGGAGGGGTCCAGGAAGAGCTGGTCCCCGTGGTTGAGCTGGTCCCCGTGGTTGAATTGGAAGAGGCCGTAGCACCAGGCACGGAGGCCCAGGGAGGCGCTGGATCTGGTGGGGACCCCGGGGCCACCCCGATGGTGCAACTCCAACAGTTACCACTAGGGGGCGACGGAGAAGAAGGGGGCCATCCCAGAGCCATTAATAACCAGTACTCCTTCGTGTGAGACACCCTACCACGCTCTTTCTCCACTCTTCTTGCTCCCCAGCTCTTAGTTGGTGAGATGGCGCTGGGTGGGGACGTAGAGGAGCGGTAGGAATCCCCTCCCCACGTGCTTCCTGACCCTTGACGGCCAAGGGCATCTGCATTGGTACAAGAAGAGGTTCGAGAGCCCTGTTAACTCCCCAGTTCATACACTACAGGTGCCCCATCCCCTGGGCAGGGGATTTGGGCTCCATTACCTCCCTGAGGGGCTCTTATGGTCAGCCCCACCCCTGGGGGCCATTTCCCCACTAACCACCCCCCAGCCCGAAGAAGGGTGAGGGGGAAGGGCTGTCAGTTACTTTAAGGTGGTTGTTGTTGTTGTTTTAAACAAAATGGAGAAGCATAAATAAATAAAAGGGTTTATCTCAGTTCCATCGCGATGGCTGTGGCCAGTGTCTGCAGTGGGGGCTGGGACAGGCGGGTCAGGAAGGCAGCCCACTCAGTGTTGCCCGCTCAGGAGCGGAGAGGCTGGAAGGCTGTGTCAGGTCAAATCCCTGTTGCCCTCCAGCGCTGTGCTCTCAGCTCGCGGCTCTCCTGCGGGCTGTGCTGTTGGTTGAGCGGTAAGTGCAGAGCCGAACGAACAGTGCTTCCCAGGGTCTCCAGCCAAGTTCTCTTAATGGGACAGAGCAGTGAGCAGCAGGATGGACCACGTATAAGGCCCCTTCCTGCTCGGAATTCTTCAGTGAAGGCTTCCTACTTTAGGCAGAAAGCAGGCAGAGAGAGACTGTGGGGCCAGGGCTGGGGCGCAGTGGCTGTATTGGGAGAGATTGAATGCAGCGGCCACAGAGCCTGACTGCAGAGGGGCCCTAGGGCAGTCTGGCTGCCCCCCTTCTTGGGGCCAAGCTGGGAAGCTGGAGGGTAGATAACGGAGGATGCTGGCTTCCATGCCTGGCTTTTCCTCTGCTTTGCTGTTTGGCCTCAGCAAGGTATTAGCCTCTCTAGGCCTCAGTTGTCCTCATCTGTCAAGTGGGAAGTTTTATCTGGGTTGGAGCTGCATACATGATTTGCTTGGCCTGGATAGTGTTTCCACTGGGATTTCACACAGAAGTTCAGATGACCGGCTTCTCCTGAAAACCCAAAGATCCAGCCTCACGCGCTCCGCCTTCCACATTCCACATCTGCTCCATCCCCACTGGCCCACTGCACTCACATGACCTTCCCAGCCCCGTGGGAATGAGTTTGCAACATCTCTCCCTCCTTGCAGCAGCCCCGTTCAGCCCCGGCTCCACTCTCTGAACTGACCTGCAGCCATGCCCTCTTCCAACGGAGGGCACCCTTGGGTTTCCCAGCTCTATGGGTGGTGGGTGCCCACAAGGAGGGGCCGGGTTCTAAAGGATCCCTTTTCCCTTGACCCTCCCCCTTTCTAACCTCCACCCACTGCTGCCTCTCAGTTTCCTTCCCGTGCAGCGTGGAGCCTATATTCTCAAGCCCCTCAGCCACTGTCCCCACCTCCAGGAAGGCCCTAGCCACGCTTATGACCTTGCTATTCTGGGCCTTGCGTCCTGTTGGGAGATGGACAGGAGACAGCTGGGCTCACAGGCCACCCAGGCTGGGGGCTAGCTGGAGGAAGCCTGCTGGCTCTCTCAGTTTTGTCTAATCCCTGGGGCTCCCTCAAACCATGATCTCAGGAGACTGGGGATAGAATTGGCCTTGCAAAGGAGGGGATGGTTTGGGGAGCTGGGTGCTGTGTTCTGGAAAAGGAGGTGGTGAGTGAAGGCTGTGGCACCCCAGGGTAAGCAGGACCTGATCCCCTCCTAATCTAGCAGCAACTGGTGCTGTGAGGCTCCCCTTCCCCCTAAACCCTGCCAGCTTCAGGGACTTGACTTCTGAAGGTGGGGGGGAGGGGACCGAGGAGCACCCCCCACCCCAAGATTTGCCTGTCTTGGCCAGAGAAGCCTAAGAGACTGTTTCCTTCTAAGCCTCTCTTTAAGGATGGTTGAGCTGAAGTTTGGGACCCGTCAGGTCCAGCCAGGCTCTGTGTCCCCATCCTTCAGAACCAGGCTTCTATTCCTAGCTTCAGCTCTCTTAGGAAGGGAGGAACACCTTCCAACTGTGGGCTTGGAGACCCCCGGGGAGGGATCCAAGAGAACCAGTGCCTTCCTCCATCCCAGTCCACACCCTCAGCCTCCCTGGTGGCCAGCCTTCTGCAGGTCTTGTGGGGTGGCTGTCCCTCTCTGGCTTCAGCTTCCCCACTGGGAAGTTGGGGGAGGTGGGAGGGGTCACCTTAAAGGGCCCCCGCTGGCAGCAGCATCCTGTAAAGCCTGCCTCCTGTCCTCAGCCTCCTGCTCTCAGCTCCCCTGAAGCCTGGATCCCTCCAGTCTTCTCCCCCTTCTCCATGTTTGGGCATTCCTGCTCCTTTCGGTGCCCCTGTCAATCCTCCAGGTGGTGGCAGGGAGAAGGCAGGGAGCACCAAAAGGCTTGGCAGATGCTGAGTCTGACTCTGGCCTAAGAAGGTGGGTGCTGGGCCACATGGAGGTGCCTGTGGACATGACCCCCATTGTCTGAGCCCCTCTCCTCAGGTCACAGCTCAAGGGAGGGATTCCTGGGAACCATGAAAAGGAGGAGGGATGGAGCACCATGTCCCCAACCCACCCCAGAAGCTCCCCTCCCCCCCAAGTCCAAGCAGAGGAGGGAACAATTATGGGGGGGCTAAATCCTTAAGTGCCATCCACCCCCTGCGGGCCTGGCCTGCCTGCTAGCCAAAAGTGAGGCTTCCCCTTCCTTCTCTCGCTGTCTCCCCTGCCATCATCTGCTTAGGAGCCTGAGCACCAGTGGGGGAAGCAGCCCGGAGAACCCTTTCAGTGGCCCATACTCCTCTGACTGTTCATCTCGGAAGCTGAAGGCCTAGACGCAGGAAGGACTTGAGGCTCCCTCTTCCCCTCCCTGACCTTCCACTATTAACTCTCACTGAAACTCTCTCCTCTCTCTACCCTCCTTCCCTCCCCTGCCCCACAGCCCAGGCCACCCTCTGTCTGCTCCTCCAGCAGCTGCCCTGGTAGCAACCAAAAGACGCCCCCATCTAGGAGCTGGGGTGGGGGTGGGGGGCTCAGAGCAGCTGCTTCGACCAGGAAGCTGACACCAGGGCCTGCCGCTCAGCAGCAACTCGTGGCTCTGCACCCAGCCCTGGGCCCCCACCCACCTGGCCGATGCAGGCCGGCTCCCTGCTGTCCCTTTTCCCCACTGCTCCTCAGACTTCCCTCGGACACTGGCGGCCCCGGCTCTGTCTCCCCAGCTCTGTTCTGTCCTTGTTTCCCCCTAGACCTGTCCCCATCAATCTGCCCCCTCCCCATTCCTTTGGTCTGGAGCCTCTGCTCTATCCAGCTTCCCAGCCCCCTTTCCTCGACACCCCTCCTTCCCTCACGCTTCTTCCTGTGGGATATGCCCAACACCTGAGCATGCAGCCTCTGAGCCTCACTCCCCTGGAGGAGGAGAGTTCAGGGCCAGGGCAGAGTGTGGACTACATACCTTCTAGGATCTGCCATGTGAACCCCTTGACTTAAAGAACACAGTGTGGAATGGGGGACCCTCATTCCAGGACTTGGGGTGACTGCCCCCATCCTGAAACACTGATCCCTCCCCCTCCATCATCAGCACATTCTGCAGCCTCTTGGATTACCTGACTGCCTGGGTATCCTATTTTCTTGGGGAGGGGATTCCCTGCCAGGGATGGGTAGGCCCCCCAAAGGCTACATTTCCAGAGGCCGAGTTAGAGCGATGGAGAGGGGGGAGTTTGGGGGAGAGACAGGCAGTCCTGGCTTTGCTCACCAGGGCTTGGACACTAAATCCCTTGTTGATGGCTGCAGCAACCCCTCCCGAGGGTAGGGTTACCGTCTTCTGCCCTGTCCCCTTGACCCTCTCCCCTCCCTATTTCCCCTTGTCCCTCTAGAGCCATTTCCTTTGGCCCCAAAGGATGTTGTCCCCCTCTCCCATCCCCTGAAGGTTGGAGTGTCTGCCGCCCTTTCAGCAAACGGGGTGAGGAAGGAGACCATGGCAATAGAAAGAGGTTGGGTGGGAGAGGAGGGAGTCAGGGAAGGAGAAAGGTGGAGGCCCCGGAGTAGGAGGGGAAGAACTGCAGGGAGGACTTTGGAACAGGAAATTCGGTACAACTGAGGAAGTCCAGGCAACTGAGGGAGGGGTCAGCAAAACACAGACAGTGAAGTCTCTCCCTGCCCCCCCTTCCCTGGGGCTGGGGCCACCTTAGCTTCCCTCATGAGTGACATCTCAGGCTGCAGCCCCACTGTTCCCCCTCTGTCAGCAGAAATATCTTTCTTCTGACCCCTCCTGCCAGAGTCTTAGCCAGCCAATCCCTGATCTGGGGGGGGGGGAGAGCCCGGCCCCCCCTACTCCCTCATAAGGACCAGCTGGGGGTTGGGGGGGGCGGCCGGCTGCTGCAAGTGGGACGGGGGTCAGAGCTTCGTGGAAGGAAGAGAAACGTGGCGGGGGGCAGGAGAGAAAAAGCAAAAACCCAAGACAAATAGGCAGGTGGACACCAAGGAAGGCCCCCGAAGCGTGAGAACACCCCCAGAAGGAGCACACCGCCCCCTGGGCCCCAGGAAGGGAGCACAATGGAGGCTGCACACTCCAAGACCACAGAAGAATGTTTGGCCTATTTTGGGGTGAGCGAGACTACAGGCCTTAGCCAGGACCAAGTGAAGCGGCATCTGGAGAAATACGGCCCCAATGGTAAGTGTCCCTTGGAGGAGAGAGAGGCTGGTAACGCCCTCCTGTCCCCCCCACAACACAGACACATACACACACTCACACACTTACACACACTGGAGTCTCTCCCTCCAGAGTACCTTAGGGAAGAGCTGGGTCATGGTCCAGTGACTTCAGGGGGTAAGAGGAGACTAACAAGACAGGGTCCCTGAGACTAGAGTTTTGGGAGGATTTATGGGATGACCTTGGTGAACCTCAGATGCCCTTTTGGTGGCCCGGTTCTCTTACCTTAGCCAGAATCCTGGATGTAGGGGACATTAGACTGAACCCCAAATGAATATGTCCTTTTCTTCTTTTTTTCCCCTGGATAGAGCTCCCCGCTGAAGAAGGTAAGTTACTGGAATCCCTGAGCTCTGTTAATGACCGTCCCCCACCCCACAACCGTGCCCCACTCCCTTCTCCCCACCTTCTCCCTACTGACTCCTGGGGCAAATACCCTCCCCAGAGGTTAGAATCTGGCTAGGGACAGGAGTTTCCACGCACTTTCTCCATGAGGCCTCCAGCCCTTGAGCAACTGACTGCCCACCACCACTTTGAGGGGCCTGTGTCTGGACTCCTGGCGAGCTCCCTCAGTCCCTTCTCAGTACCAAGCAGCCTGCTCATCCGCCCAGAACCTTCCTGCTCAGGCTGGAAGGCCACTCTCAGTCCCTGG